GCTCCAGAGCCCCAGTGGGGTAATGTGGACGTAAGGATGCTTAGCATGGCTGGGGAAAGAGATGACAGAAGTATGAGCTGCTCTGGGTAAGGCATGGTGGTCCCAACCGTTTGCAGTCACAAGTTAAGAAGAGCAGCCACAAACCTTTCTACCTCACCTTCTGGCTTGCAATAGCACGGGACACCTGAGATAGCAGGCCCTGGGGAGTGCTCTCCTTGTGATGTGGAGAAGACATTCACTCAAAATGAAAGCTTGTGAATTTTAAATAGAAAACAGGGAGGTGTCCAAAAGATGAGTTGCTCTGCTCTAGCAAGGGAAGGAGAACAGATAAGCATGTGCAGGAAGAAGTGAAAGATGAAGATTTGACTGGGTTATGCACAGCAGAGATGGGAAACAAGACAGCATCTATTCAGGTGGAAGCAGATGGTAGAATAGGAAAGAAGCATGTGGCACCTACAGATCACGTAATATACACATATTCAAGGTTAGCATCTCATCCAGAGGCAGTGGTCTTTGTTTGGAATACATCAAAAATGTCAGAGCAGTATCGACTGTCATCATAAGCCAATGACAAGACGCAAGTCAAAGGCAGTTGAAAGAAAAACCTTCCTTCTGGTAAGTCTGGTTTATCTCATCATTCCCGTACGCCCTCCCCTATGTCAAGTCTCCTTCCCACTTCACAGGCCCTTGGCCTGCTTGATGCAATCACAGCACGCCGGAGCTGCTAACAGCCTTGCAAGGCTGCAACCTACTGCAAGGCTAGGTTAGCTCAAAAGGTAGGGCAACTCCGGCGGGTAAAAGTTTCACTTTTCAAATGAACAGAAGTTTTAGTTGCAATTGATCCTTACAAGAAAAATCAGCCCACAATGAGACTTAAGAAAGTACCTAGGCTTCCTGGGAAAACCAGGGGCTGAGAGGCATTCAGGGAAGTGCCCATCTCCTTGTGTGCAGAGACAAGTTCTTTCAGAGCTGCAGTTCCCATCCAGATCTCCACTGCCTCACATTTCCTAGCTTCTGACCCGGTGGTACGAACTTCTGCTTACCAGGATTTGCTCTAATGACATCCCTATGCTCTTCCTGACGACAACTCCTCTGAATTTTAACAAAATCCTTGCCATAACCTCTATTTGATGGCTCACAGCTTCTGCTTGCGGCAGTCCCCACTGTTTAATGTTCCTTCCCCAGAGCCTGAGCTGCCTAGGCTAGGAGACTGCAGTGCCATTAACAAGGACCAAAGCTCGGGGTCTAACCACTGCCCTGGCTGAGTGCTGTGTCCAGGAACTGGACTGCAGTTCTCATTTTGGCTCTGCCTCAGGCCTGCTGTGTGACTTTGGGCAGGACATTTCTCCCATCTGGCTTTCTTGGTTTCCATCTGTATAACAGGGCAAGCCTCATTTTCCCTTCTATGTAAAAAATCCGGAGACATACAGAAGACAAACTGTACTGAGAGCCAGGTACTATTATTATTAGAGCTCTGGTCTGCTAAATAGACACTGGCAGGAGATGCAAAAGCAAAATAAACTCAAGGGCAAGGGAAGCAGGCATAGCAATAAAGCACAAAAAATGAAGAAAGAAGGGAAAGAAAATTCAGTGAAAAACAGTGCAGTAGTGGGCACTGCTCCTGCAGTCTAACTGCATACGGAAGCAAATGTGACATAAAGAACACTATTTTGAAGCAGTTTGATAAGTCTGTTCTCCATACGCCCAGTCTTTGTGTTTTAAGAGGACTCCAGTTTTGGCAAGTCCAAATTACTGTCTCTACTCAAGTGGGCAAGGAGATGCTTCATCACCTTTTGAGATCAGTCAAGATTATCCTTTCTCCATCTGGGAAAGGCAACCAGTAAGAAAGGAAAGGAAACAATTAAGCTTGGACGCTGACCTGTAGGACCATTAAGTGCACTTAACTATTATTTATATAACTGTGCGCATGTAGAGCTTTAAAAGGGAAGAATTTAGAATCATTAAGGCATAATTGAGGCTCTGAAATCAACATAGTTATATGCCTGTTACTCTACAATGCTACCAAGCAAGCAGCAATTGTGATACATCTGTCAGTGTGTCCTTTGCTGTCATGGGATCCTTGCTACAGAGGCTACCACATTCTGCTCCTTTCCATTATGGATGAGGCTGGAGCGTCCCTGCAATTTTGCTGTGCAGGGAGTTACAGTTTCCCTGTAACCAGTTTTCATTATATCTCCTAGGCAAATATCTTGTATCTTGGGATTAATATAAGACAAGATGAAAATTCAAATTCTGCCTTGGCAATTCCTAAGAAAGCAGTCACCTTTGCTTTCCAGAGAGCAGCAGAAGCTGAGAGTGCATGAATTGGTTTCTGAATGTTCGGAGTGAGGGAGCTACGAGACCAGCTGTGCCTGCAAAGAATGGGTTATGGTATGACTGCAGGGCGATACATTGCCTTTGGTGGATTTCTTTTCCCCTTGCTGTTTGAGTTTTCTCCACCATCTCTTCCTAAAGCACTGTGAGCAGCCTTGTTTTTTCTCAGTTAAAAGGATTTTCTTTATTATTTTTTAAAGCCTGTTTGATGAATGATATGAACTAACAGAGAATACCACATTTCACTCCCCCTCATTAACATTGTAAATTAATTTAGGACTCATTGAGATGCAGGATTAACAACCTGAAGACTAATCTACTCTTTATTCAGAGGACATATTCAGGATGAGCAGTCTTTCGTCTCATATCACTCAATTAGTTAGCAGGACTGTCTCCTGGGAGTAAGATGATATTTCTGACTCTCTGCTTGGAAAAGAACTGTTCAAGGTTAAGACAGAGATCTGGGAGACTTCAGTTCTGGTCCCAGCTCAACTGCAGGCTTCCTTTACAACCTTGGCCAAACACTTTAACACTCTGCATCCATTTCCCTCAGTCTGCACACTTAGAGAGGTCAGACTTGGAGAACAGTTGCAAGATTTTAGGTAGTGTTTACAGCAGTTTAGGCCAGCGTGTTTTATTCTGCCAGCGTTAAGGGTACATGGGCCATGGGCAGCTGCCAGGCAGAAATTTGTTAAGCTGAAGTAATACATTTAATAAGTTTTCAGTTATGTGCCCCTAACCTCACTTATGCAAAATGGTGTATTACTTTGTGAACAGTCTTTTCCTTGGATTGTGATGGCACTGTGATTAATACATCAGTACCTACAGAGCAGGGGCAAAGTCAAGTCCTCCTGTTTTCAGATCAGCAAAAAACAAGAGAAAATGTTGCTTTTCTTAAAGCAATATTTACTGATAACAAAAATCACGACACACTCAGCAGCACTCTTGCAATATCTCAATGATGCTGTTTTCAGATGCCCTGTACATTTGCTAGAGAAATAAATAACACATCTTGCAATTAACAAATGGAATGCCCCATTGGAGGTTAGCTCTTGCTTGCTGTCAGTAAATCATCTGCAGAGGGATTTCATCCACTGAGAGGAATGAAGATTATATATGTGCTTTGGCAAGTGCCATTTTCCACCAGAATATTTTGTTGAAGGCACTTCATGTCTAATGATACATTGAGGATCTGTTCCTCTGAGCACGATAAATAAAAACAAATAATTGCTGTAGAAAAGAGCCTGACAGACACCCAGTGCCACTTTGGGCATAACTGATTGATTCTCCTTATAATCAGTTACACTTGTAAAGCTCAGGCCTTCTGTTCTGGACGCGTGCTGCATACACCAGCTTAGCTGGACTCTGCTGTCCCCTGAGTATTTTTAAAGCCCTAATATGGACTACTAATAATTGTTTGTATTGCAACACTACCAAGAAGCTCTAACCACAGATGAGGAACCTGCTATGATATGGGCTGTAGAAAATAACAAGGAGGAAATGTTGCAGTGATTCAAATAGCCTGAAACCTATGGCCAATTGATGGAGCTCCAGAACATTCTCACCTCTAGTGTGATCATGAAGAGTGAATCATTTTATACACCTTTTTGTTGGCTATGGTTCCATGCACAAGATCCTGGTGGGCATTTGGTAATCACTGTGAAAAAATGGATTGGAAAAGCATCTTTCTGCCCCGCTATTTTTAACCCTAATCAAATTCGAACTTTTTCAGAGATACAATTGTTCCAGGGTGGTTTCCTCAGGCAGAGGACAATGGCAGGACAACCACAGCATCACATTTCTACAACTCCAACTAATAATTCTGTCAGAAGCTTCCAAACCGGACTGTTCTTCTCCTTAAAATACTGCATTTGCTGTGTGGCTAGTCCTTTCAACTCTCCATAAGATCAAATGTGCTGTCATGAGACTGCTACTCAGTGTCATCATCTCTAGTCCTTGACAAAGCCACTCCATTAAACCACCTCTGGACCACAGGCCAGAAAAGCTGGGTTTTTCCTGGGGTTGTACAGCTCTGTCTGCAGATGTCTGCAACATTAAAAGGACAGACATCAGAATTTCAATTATCTTTCTTCCTTAAATACAGGGAGAGAAATGTCTGATGTTAATGTCACCAAAATCATAGGGGTATTTTTAATCAATGAGGTAGCATAAATGCAATGATTGTCAGCACTTCCTGCAGTTTTCATCCTCGGGTGTTTGTCCTGATGTGTTTTACATTTTTGTGTCACATTGTACTCCCAATTACTGTACATTCAGCAGATTCTCCACAGAACATATGAAGGGCATCACACCTCATACTTAGTAGTGACCTCTGTTGAGCAAGAACAACAGGATCCTGCTGTTGGGTTATCATGAGCTTTCTGATCTAGGTAGCCATCTCTTATTTGAATTTGTCATAAATAACATCATTAGGTTCCTTTGTTCTTGGCTCATTCTGCACTCATTGAGCCCTGACCTCTTGCCCACGAGCAAAACAAAACAACGCCCCCCCTAAAAAAAACAACCCCCAACCACATCCTCATTCTTCTTCCTCGTAAGAGTGCATTTCACAGCAAACGTACCAAAGACCTTAAGTGAAGAAATCTGAAAGCACCCTTCTGAGATGAGCAAGGTTACCAAACCAGCAAGAAAACAAATACTCTTACCTGTTTGTAGCAAGCCAGCCCCACTGTCTTTGACTCCAAAGTGCTGCTGGATGTCTAGTAACACACCTGCAAGGAAAACAGAGCAGAAACTCAATACCTTCACAGCCCTTGAAAAGCATACATCTCAAACACTTTGGGAAGCATAAGCAAAGCCTTCAAATTTGAGTCCTTTAGACATACAAATTCTAAAGTTTGCACATTGGCTTATTTTCTATACACTCAATAGTTTTAAGCTACTGCAGTAACAACATAGCTCAGCAGATATAACATCATGCCAAGGGTTTGGAGATGAAATCTTTGTGCAAGCTGGTCTTTCCTTTCTTCTTAAATAAGACCAGTTTTTTCATTTGGTTTGGGGTTTCATTGTTTGTCTATTTTTGGTGCTTTTGTTTTGTTGGTTTCTACTTTTCTTTCTTTCTTTTTTTTTCCTTCAGCAACACCACTGCAGAATCCAGATCCCTTGCTTTTGTTATTTCATAGAAACACATGGAAATTTGATTCTGCACCTTAGGTGCTTCAAATGGCTCAATAAATAAATACATTAATTAATTAAACTGAATCCAGGAAAAAGTTTTAACAAGAAAAGTTTTAACAAAAGGAGACTTAAAAAGTTTTAACAAGAGGAGAGCAAAGACGGGAGTTTATATTTAACTCATTGGGGGGGGGGGGGCACATCTCATTTCCAAAACATATTCATAAAATACATTTTAAATAACTTAATAAAGGTGGGTAAGTGACTTAGCTTTAAAGGAACTGCAAAGAATGCTTTGAGCAGAGAGGTTGAACTAGATTATCTGCAGAGGTCCCTTCCAGTCCTGGTTACTCTGTGAAGCTGTGCTCTTAATCCGGTGACTGATCAGAGCACATGAGCTCCTAATGAGAACACACGCACATGGCCAGAGCTGCCTCCACCACCCCGAGGTGCCTGCCCTGCCTACAGCAGCATATTCCCAGCCATGCCACAATGCCAAACAGGCACACAAAACCACCAAAAGGTACCAGGAGGAGCAGCCTGGGAGGTGATAGCCTCAGAAAGAAGAATTCTTTTGGACATGCACCACAAACCAGAACAGCAAGTGCAAGGGGCTGTAACGATGCCTACACAGCGAGGGAGAGGTCTTTCTGTTCATCCCAAAGAAATTCCCTATGCTGTGACAATGGCTTTGCAGTTCTGTAGTGCTTTTCTCCAACGTACTTCACCAGCTTCAACTACTGTAGCCATAAAGGAAACACAATTAAGGCACTGAAGTGCAGCCACCCTGGCTTATACTTATAACTTCACTCCGACGGTGGAGAAGGAAGTGGGTTCTGTGGATAGGCAATGCAGCAGAACAACATAGCACCGCAATTACAAGGCCTGCATGAGCTTGGAAGGAGATCTCAGGTGATTAAGAGAGATCTGCATGTCTAATTGGCATGAATTTCCTCTTCCAAGTCTATTTTATATTCTCTTTGGACTCCAGGTGTTTTGATATGGGATTTAGAGCATTAAATTAGAGGCAGGAGCAAGCAGATGATGCAACACACCTATGGAGTGATAGGAGTTTCTCTCTGCTGTGGGAGTTCTCCTGCTCAGCACATGGGAAGACGCTCCTCCTAAATTCACTCAGCTCTGTTTTCACCTCAGCATGGCAATGACTCACCCCAAACTTTAATAAAGCTCAGGGATACAATTAAGCAATGATAGACCAGGGGAGAACACAGCAAAATGATAGAGCTTTTGACTTTCCCTTCTGCTTTGAGGTGATGGGGAGGCAGAGGCAGCTGGATCCAGGCTCCAGACAGCGATGGTGTTGCTCCTGGAGATGTGCTGCCTGGTGTCTCATAGCTCCTGATGCAATCCAGGAAAGGGAAGCCGCCACACGTGTGACTGACAAGGCTCTGCTTGGATTAAAGTTCATGCTTACATGTCTGGAGGACCTGGAAACAGCCATGAGCAGCTAACAGCAGGCACCACTCTCCTCGAGACAGCCTCTTGGCGAGGCTGAGAGCCATTTGGGATGTCTGATTACATGGCACACGCTAGGGCTATCACCTATTATTTCCTCAACCACACTTGGCATTCTCAGGACGGAACAAAGATACAGGAAAGGTGGTGCCAGCTTCCCAAAGCACCCCGCCAGCTGAACCAGCCATTATTAATGCTGATGTGGAGCTTGGAGAGACGAAACCCAGGCAGCACCTGACCTGGAGTGCTGATCGAGATGGGCACAGAGACAGGATTGGAAACCCTGAGCGATGACTACAACTGCCTGTGGGTTTAGATCCTCCAGCCCTATCCAGGTTAATAGATAGGTTACTAGGCCCCAGAATGGGCCTGCTCTGGTGTCTGAGCACCTGACAAAGACATGTGGGATTTTTGTGGGCACTGGCCATGAGGAGGACTTTTAAGAGCAATTTGGAGGATAAAAGGTCGTTGGGTGTGGAGTGTTAGATAGGAATGTCAAGTAAATGGGGAAGAGGAATGTGGCTGACCTCATCCACCTTCAGTGTCTGAGGGCTTCCAGGGCCCAGTACAGGATGCAGAGTGCTGTGGCCTCCTGTTCTGTAATGGTCATTTCACAAACAGTGAGCATGAAAGACCCAACTTGGAGGAATGCAGGCCCACATTTAATGGCCTAGGTTATCTCTGATTTAGAGGAAATGCTTTGGGAAAGAAGAATTTTCCTGGAAGTGCTCAGGTCGGGCTGCAAACATGGAGGTGGGTGGTGCTGATCACACGTGAGGCAAGCTCATGTCAGGACACGCTTTGTCTGCTGGCCAGAGCTACAACAAACCAAAAGCTGCAGGACTTGATGGTAATCTGCTATGGGGTAAAAAGCTGCTCTGAACAGAAGGTCACCTTAGTACAGACGTTTCTTGTGTTAGCCATCATTTACAGAACTACTCTGTAGCAGAACCAATGCAAAGAGTGCCTTGGATATCCTTTATATTTAAATGAAACACGGGCTCTTAACCTAACCTTTACACATGAATAAAGAGTTGCCATGGTACGAAAGTGTTCATATGCTCAGCCACATTGAAATCACAATTTCAAAGCAAAATGACATTATAGCTTCCCTTGGGAGAGCCCTGTTTCCCACTCACCAAAACAAAACACACCCCCCTTTGATTTCCAGCTGCTTCCAAGGCAAACACAGAGTGAGGCTGTGCATGGTGTGCGAAGCTACGGGACCAAAGCTACAGGTTTCGGCTCCCTGAGACTTGCCTCTATAACTCAATGGGTGTCCTTTGAGCAGTGCTTGTGTGCTGCAGTCCCACTGGCCAGTATACTTATGGAAAAAAGCACAAACACTTAAAATGGTATCTTTTAATGGGGAAAAGTTATGTGTCTGAAAGGAACCAGCATGCTGCTTTCCCCGGGAAGCAGCTGGGCACTGACACACTCGCACCCTCTCCTTGCCCCGGTGCAGCCCTGGCCTTGCACCTCTCTTTGGGGAAGCCTCAGAGAACATGGAGGAGAACCCAGCCTCACTCTCTTGGCTCCCAAAGAGAGCAGACTGTACCAACAAGTATTTTTCCTCCATTCCCTGGTGCACCTGCCTCTCCTTACCAAGGCGTTTTCCTTCCCAGGTGATGCTCCCTGGTTCTGGGGCCAGCTCCCTTAGGTGGAGGCAGCCGGGCAGGGATGGCCAAGCCCTGGCCTCCTAGCCATTAAACACAAGCCACCTCGTTACCATCAGGCTCTCCTTCTTGCCTGCAGCCATGTTCAACCTGCTTCAAATAATGCATTAAGCAGACAGAGGAGTGGTGCACACACCTGTCTGTTCAGAGACATGTGAAAAGATTAGGTGGGGAGAAGTTTATTCTGAGGTCTCTGTGATTATATCTTCTCTGCAACCCCAAGGTGTGACTGCAGTTCACACACACATCCCTAAGCTTCAAACGAGCTGGCTACAGCTCAGCCACCCACTAGCTATTAAATGCAGGCTTCACAATTTGGACCCTATTTAAATACTCAGCTGCAGAACAACACGGTGGTAGCCCCGCTGATATTTGTACCACAAGATAAATTCCCACTGCTACAGAACTCGCAAGTCGAGAACTGAACTGTGGTACCACCTTCTTTGGACTGCCATGAAAGCATTCCCTGTCTGCATGCAAAAGAAGCGGGGCTGCTGCTTAGGTATTGCTAAATGAGTGGTGATGTCCTGCTCGAAAACATCGGCAGGAGCTTCCTCAGGACATACACACAGACTTGCCTTCTGCAAAACTCATTTCCACCGTTGCAGGACATGACAGTGTGCATTGATGAAACGGCCCTCTTTGATTTTGAAATAACATTGCAGAATTAGGAGAAAAGCAGACAAACAAAACAAACCCAGCAACATGACAAATCAAAACAAGGATTTCCTAAGATCTGCTCACGCTGACAGGCAAGAAACTCCTGACCTAGAAAGCACTGGAATAAACTGCCAGCACCCACAGTGGCGTGCTTAGGAAGGGGTTTCCCTGAGCAATAGAGGCGCTGAGGAGGCAACGCCAGCACAGCAGCTCGAGCCAAAGCTCTGAGCCAGCCAGGGTCTCCAGGCCCAACGCTGCCCTCACTTACAGGCCGTGAAGCTGCTGTTAAAAAATCTTCTAACAAAACCCAGTCCAAGGAAGTGTTCAATAAGAGTTCAAAGCCTCCGCTGACACCACCCCCCTGCATGCTCCCAAAGGTGACTGGGTGAAGACCCTGCTCGGATCTGGGTCTGAAATGTGGTCAGAACCACAGGGACGTGCACCCGGAGCTCTGGTACATGAGAGGACTTGCTGGTTTTCCTCAACAGCATCTTAAGTGGGCTTTCACGAGAGGAGAGGTGCTGCACACTCTGCTAAGCACACTATTGCTTGGGAAATGAAACAAAACTTTCTGTCTGCTTTGTACTGCCATTCCTATTCTGAATAGAAAAACAACGCTACCCTTGGAGACTTGTACCACCTGTCACACCCACTTTTTCCATTCAATGTTTTTATCATTATTGTAATATCAGTGGGGAAGTATCTGAGCTGTTCATTCATTCCCAAAGGCTATTGGCTTACCTGCATGGTATGTAACAAGTAATTAAGCTTTAGGAAAAAAA